ATCATTTATATCATTCTTGTTTGCTGATTATGTATAAGCAAAGTTATTTACAGAACGCGATATTCTATGCAAGCTCGGATTTGAGATAACAACATCATGAACTTGAGCAGCAAGCAAGTTCGAATTGAATAGTTTAATATTTTCTTTTCCATTTTTCTCTTCTTTCTCGGGGATTATCGACAGACAAATCCTCAGCATCATCTTGATTCTTGTTACTGGACGATTCCTCTTCTTTTTCTTCTCCTTGCAATTTGCTGATCTTTTTCTTCTGGAGTTTAAGAGTTGCAAGATCCATGATTAATTACACCCTACATTTTTAACCCCCCCCCCCAAGTAATTGCAGTAAATTCTCAAGACCCAGCTGGGAATTCGTCAAAATTTCTGGTTATCATCTCCTTCAATATTAATCTTGGAGTCTTCAATCTAATTGTTGCCATGTTTACTTATTTCTTTTGAGTCAACTCTGCCTCTGCAAGCCGTAGACAAGACCCTAGGTTGAGTAGATATAATCACTTGATTGGATAGAAGCTGTCTGTCTTAGTCTCTCACCTACTTGGTCATTCCCTTAGAGACTGAACCCTTGACTCAAGACATTACAGGTTCCTGCAGTGATTAAAAATAAGTAGCTACAAACCTGCCTTATTGGCCTGATTGCTATGATATTTTCCTTTAGATTTCTTCTGTGGCATTTAGTGATTAAAGATAAGTTTCAAGTTTCCAAGGAATGGATGAGATTCAAAAACTAGGACTTATAGAAATTAAATTATCAATTTGATGGCATACTTCTTGGGATCTATTCCTCCAATATATTAAATTATCAAGAAATATATGATATGTTTTCTTTATTTCATTTCCTTTAGCCTTTTACTCTCTCTATACATCTTGAGAGCTAGAGTTAGATCTCGAATTTTTCGAGCTCGTAAGTCCCTTTGTGCCTATACTACCCATAAATCTAGTTGGCATAACGAGATCTTTACTAGTGTATTTTGGAAGGCTAAAGTCCTTGTCTAGGGCAAAGGTTTTTATCAGGACTATCGTTTTTAATAGATTCAACATTAATGATCCATTTGCAAGTATTACAAGCCCAAATGTACTCTCTCTTTTGATGTGTGTTTTGCACTTTAGGAAGGCCGAGGCCAGTTGCCATCTCCTTTTGCATTATAAGATGACTCGGGACTTTGGTTTGGGCCTCTCGATACTTGTGTCTCACGTGGGTTTCCCTGCCTCGGATGTTTTTATTGCTTCATCCTCTTGGAGAATGGGGGGCAAAGAAGGAATCTAGAGTCCTTTAGAGATGCTCTAGTTCATGGGTATTGTGATTGGAGCTCAATGCAGGGGCTCTTCAAGGATTGATAACTCCCTTAATCTTTTTCTATTTGATAGAGTGATCTTCTTTACTTCTTTATGGGCCGAGAAACTCAAGGGTTTTTCAGGGATGCCTCTTCAGCTATTTTGTGAAGAAAGTGAGTTACGACTTCGTATTAATTTTTGTAGCTTTTTTTTTAACATACTCTTGTTGGCTTAAAAGAATTTCTCATCCACTGCGTTTATACTTTTTTCTTATTTTTATTTTTATTTTTAAAAAATAACATTTAAACCAACTGGATACTTGACTAGCAAGCGAGAGAGACGAATTCCGAGTTGGAATGGTTTGATATTTTCTTTTTCATTTTTTTCTCTTTTCCCTCAGGATTATCAAGTGACATTTCCTCGGCACCATCTTGATTCTTATTACTGGACTATCTATCTTCTTCTTCTCCCTGCAATTCGTTAATCTTTCTCTTTCGATGTTTTGAGATTTGCAGGTTCGTCATGATTCACGATGATTACACCTTTTATCGTTAACCCTCCAATTAAGATATGTTCTTTTTGTACGTCATTATTTGTATATTATCTATATAATATTAATGTATGTAATTAAAATTATTAATTATTAATTATTAATTATATAATTGATAAACATTGGTGATAACATATTTATATTTATATTTATTTTAACAGATAAATTAATTAAAATAAATTAATTTTAATATTTTAAATAGAGTATAATTTTAAATTGAATATTTAAATTAACATGGGAATTGTATTATTAATTTTTAATTATATGATTGATAACCGGTAATAAAATATTTAAAAATTTGTTGGATTAAATATCACCCGCAGGTAACTATATTAGTTTCTCTCAGGTGTTGGATTAAATATCACCCGCAGGTAACATACTAGTTTCTCTCGTAACTGACAAAACCGTAATCCAAAACGAATATCTCATTGGCGCCAAATACACCCGCTCTCCCTCTTTCTCTATTTAAAGACTCACAGTTCATCGACTGAGGTATTGGCTCTTCTCATTTCCATTTCTTCTGTTCTTTCCTCTTCAACATCTAAATCTCCAACCATGGCTGAAGAGGATCCCAAAGATTCGGATATCGAGATCAGCACGAAAGATTCAGAGGAATTTGAAGAGACTAGTACAGAAACCGTGGAAGATGATGAGAGTCACGCGGAGCCTTCAACTGATGAAGAACGATTGTCTAGTGATAAGGCCCGAGGGGTTGCAGAGGCAGAGTCGAATCAAGAAGAAGCAAGTAAAGATGGCGACGATCAGATTGAAGGAGATGATAAGCAGAAACTGTCTGATGAATTGCCAACTGCGTTTCTAGAATTTACTGGTTTTACCACTTCTGATCTTCCAGATATTGATCGTCTTACAGTCCGAAACGACGAGATTTCGGCTAATTTTGAAAAGGTAGAACAAGATATATACAGGCTGATGGTTGACAGAGTCCCGACAAAGCTAGAAGGTGTAATTGCTGCAATTATTGCGGCGTTAAGAATGAAGGGTATAATGATCATGGATCGCAGCGAGCCTGCAAATCTTGAAGGTCCGGAGAGAAAGATCGGTGAACCGGAGGGAGAAGAAGAAGAACGATCATCCAGTAATGAGAATCAATATGATGCCGATAAAATGTCAGTTGATAATCCCGAGAAAGAAGAAAATATCAAACTGTTCGAACTCGGAATCCGTCTCTGTCGCTTGCTAGTCAAGTTCATGGTGATGTTATCTCCGTGTGAGAAAGAGTTAGCGAAGTTAAAGAACCTCAGACCTCAACTCGCGTCGCATATCGGCTTTGTAAATAGCTCTGCGGTAATCCGCAAGTTCATTGATCTTCTGGAGAAGATGGATTCCAAACTGAATAAATTGAACGTCTCAAGTCGAGATGCAAGAGGAGTTAATGATGGTTGTGTGATAATCAAAGCAAGTCTGTTTGAAGAAAAACAAGCAGACATCCTCATGAGTGATTTTTTCGGGAAAATCGTACAGCTGCAGTGGGTCGCGGATCAATCGAGTTTGGAGATAAAGTCGAGGAATGCAGTGATAATATTCATGCATTTACGTCTGGCTGAATTGGAAAGGAAAATTAAAGACATACAAGATAGGAGAAACGACTTAATGATTATGTCTAATGCACCATCTTTCTGGACAGTCAATATGCACGAAAGTTTCGACAGACGAGAAATGGAGAGGGTGATTGACAAACTGTGGAGAGATATGAAGGAGAAAGAAGACTCCAAAGGGGAGAATTGATTTTTCTTGCTTTCTTTTCAGTTTAATGCACTTTGAGAAATCTGCTATACAAAACATGTAAGAAGAATAATATGAACTGTCAAGAATGGCAGACTACTAATAAGGCAGAAAATTGAAAAAACCTGTTCTGATAACAGCAATCAATTTTTCTTTGGGTATAAATTTTTCATCATCATCATTAATTATACACACACACACACACACACACACACATATATATATACATGCACAAAACATATTACAAATTCATCATATTAATCACTATTTAACTTAATCATTAGTTCATTCTTTTCCCTGTAAATGGTTATGAATTACAATAAAATTGTTCTCTCTTGTATATTATAATTAGTGTATATATATATATATTAACTAATTAATTAATATTATTAATTTTTAATTACATAATTGAGAAGTAGTGACAAAATATTTATATATATATTTTTAATTTTAGCAGATAAATTAATTTTAAATTGAATATTTGAATTAATATAAGATTTATATTATTAATTTTTAATTACGTAACTGATAACTGGTACGAAACACTTAAATTTGTTTATTTTAATATTAATTAAGTAATTAGTTTAAAAATAAAAAAAATTAATTTCAACAGTTAAACATTAATCAAAATTTAAAAAATAAATTAAAAATAATGGGGCTATTTTTACAATTATGTCTTTTTAATTTTTAAAAATTTTAAAATTATTATTAATTTTAAAAATATTATTAATCTTAAAGTAGCGCGGGTTATTATTATCAACAAATATATATATTTTTAGTTAAAAATATATATATATATATATAAACACAGTGATCTGCTCGGGGCACAAAAATCCCCTTTTATTCGTTTCTCTTCCGCCTCTCGACGCCGGGGTGCTCCCATCTGCTCTCCTCTCTTCTCTAAATCGGGAGTCTCTCTGGTCTCTCGTCTCCGCCAGAGGCACTGCAGCTAGCCTTTCCTCGTTACCGACGATTGTCATTGTTCCGAGCTCCAGCTTCAACCTCTTCAAACCAGGAAACGCCATAATTACTTCGTATTCCTTATCTGCTCAATTCGTAGTCCCACCGACGCATTCCTTTGTATGAGAAGTATGAGTGGTGCATTTTGGCTGACGCTTCAACAGTGGCAAATGCCTTGTACCAAACTATTACTTCTCAGAAGCTCCAAATTTTCTAGAGGTTAGATCTTTTTTTCCAGTCAACTGGGAATTTCTATTGTTATTTGTTAAACCACATGCACTAAATCTTTACCACTTGTCACCCTGTCAATTTTCCTGATTTTCCTAGGAATATAACTTGTGGCTTGAGGATAGTTTATTTTATGTTTAACTTCCTATAATTCTTATCCTGTCATTTTGGTCATGGACCTAAGCTGCTTTGTACTAACCTACTAGCAGTCAGCATACTAAATGTAGTCATCTTTGTTTTATGTGGGTAATCTATTCCTCTTTTCAACTTTTGTATTATTTTTGGTACGTGATTCTGTATGGAATTGCAATGTTCTTCAGGGTTATACGAGAAAGCTGGGCCTAGAAGGCATCCAACTCTATACTCCTGTCGGAACATGCAGACTGCAACATATGAAGTTGTCAATGCAAGCTATGTACCTATTACCCCAAGCCAAAAACAGCAAGACACATCTACCGCTGAGGTATTGATTCAAGCAATTCTAAGGATAGGAACAGAAACAAGCAGAAAACTTGAAGGATGATGATTGCTTTGATTTGCAGCTATATTTCAATTTATATTTTCACACACTAGTGATTTTGGATTTTCACTTGTGTCTCGTTTGGTCCAAACCTGTTATGTTTTCATTCTATCCTAGACTTATTCTTTGGTTCCTAAGAAAGATAGATCTAGTAAAATTTCTGGTTTTCGCCCCATTATCCTTGTGACTAGTTTCTATAGTATCATTAAAAAGGTGTTTTGGCTGAGATTGAGAGAGGTGGTGAATGATACTTTTGTCCATTAATCAAAGCACTTTTGTGAGGCATAGGCAAATCCTTGATGTATTCCTCATTGCTAATCTGGGGGGTTAACAACTCATTGATTTATCCACCATTGCATCGAGAGGATATTGAGAGGTCAAAAGTAAGTGGGCGTATTTTAAAAGTGGACTTTGAAAAGGTCTATGACAGGCAAATTAAAGTCAAGTTGAGAGAGGTTTTGGTGGTAGATGGTGGAGGTAGATAAAGAAGATGCTTACAGTGTCTTTGTGGTCTTGGCAAAGGAGAGCCTAAATTGTGGTCCTATGAGCAAAAGAGGGGTGAGGCAAGGAGACTTTCTCTTGTTGTTTCTTTTCATAATTGTGGTAGATGTTCTTAACTGTTATATGGTCCAAGGTCTAAAAGGG